GTGCTGGCGTCTCTCCTGCTCCCACTTGGAGCTCTCCTTCCTTGCCCCCTTATCCCCATCCCGTCCTCCTGACCTTCTGCCACATTCTCTGTTCCTTCACAGCAAGACTTCTCACCGCTCACCCACTGCCGGATCCCGCTGCCGGGCCGGCTGGGGCAACTCCTCCCCTCTCCATCAGCACCGCCAAAATGAAATGATGCCAGCCGCCAGCATCCCCAGCGGTGGCACATGAGGTCCGTGGGCTCATTCAGGCTCCTCTTCAGCTGCCCCATCCCGTGGCCCCTGGAATGTTCCTCTGGCTCCTCGGCCGCTCACGCCGGGCTACTGTGGCCCTGGCTGCTGGCTGCCCTGGTAGGAGCGGAGTAAGACCTTGTGCTTGGTGACAGCCTCGCCGCGGCGCCGCTGGTGCTCCACCAGGAATTCCTTGAGGCGGTTGGTGGTGAAAGTCAGAGTCTGGCGGCGCAGCTTCATCAGATAGGCGTCCTGGAGCCAGGCGTTGGCAAAGCAGTCCTTCACCGTGGGGCGGCTCCTGGGGCAGGGGTGGCTCCACGTCAGGGGCTGCAAGATGCCCACTGCTGCTGCACCCCCCAAACCCAGCCACTACCCTGCAAGACCCAGGAGGTCCCAGCCCTCTCCTGGAGCAGGGATGTACTCCAGGACCTTGTGCTCAGGAGATCCCAGCCCTCTGCAGGAGCAGGGATGGACCACTGATGGGTCCCATTGATGATATCTGGAAGGGCCCTGCGCTGCAGGGAGCTGCCTGCTTGGCCCAATCGCAGGTATAGTCCAGGGCCACGTGTCCTCATTGTCTGAGCTAGACACTCACCAGGGGTGGACAGCAAGGACCTTGCGGATGAAGAGGGCAGCACTCTGTGAGACGTTGGGGTACAGCTTGAAGGCATCAAAACGCCCTGCCAGGATGCGGTTCTCTGTCTCAATGGGGTCCAGTTCAAAGAATGGTGACCGCCCGCTGAGCCTGCAAGGGTAGAGAGGGTGTCATGGGCTGAGAGGCAGCAGTAGGAGGGCACCCAGCACCCCCTACCCACCCATCCCTCGTTTGGCACAGCCACAGCTGCCCAGGGTGCCTTGATCCTCATGTCCAGCTGGGAAGGGCCTGCAGGGCTACAGCACCCCCCAGCCCACCATCAGTCTGGTGTTCCCCATGGCACTGAGCCCCAGGTGGGGCTGACTATACCTCAGGGTGTTCATCCCCCCAGCCCCATCTCTTACATGATGTAGGTGAGGACGCCGACACCCCAGACATCTGCTGCGGAGCCCACCGGATCCCCCTTCACCACCTCCGGCGCTGTGGGCAGGGGAGCAGGTCTGTCACATGCTGGGTTGGGGGGCCCAGCCCCAGCACCCACAACACCCCCAGCACCTCCAGAACCTACCCCTGCACCCACAGCAGCCCCAGCACCCCACTGTTGCACTCCCCAGCACCCCTCCCTGACAACCCAATACCCTGACAGAACCTAGCACCTCCAAGCACACCCAAATTGCCCCACAGCACCCAAACTCTCCCACTGAATCTAGAAGCTCTACAGAAACCTTCAGTAGACACGTCTAGCACCCCAAAGACCCTTCAGCTTCCCCAAGGACACCACAACTCCTCCCCACTCCCAGGCTCCCCAGTGCACAGGCACACATACACAACTCAGGCACAAGTGTGCCCCAGATCTGGCCCTGTCCTCGTGCCTGTCCCCGTGCCACCACACCCCTGGCACCCCACTCACACATGTACTCCAGGGTGCCGACACGCCGCCCCAGCTGCCGCAGCACGAGTGGGTTGTAGGTCTGGGCACTGCCAAAATCAATGATCTTGAGGGCGTTCATGCCCGAGATGACAATGTTGTCCGGCTTGATGTCGAGGTGCACGATGCGGCGGCCGTGCAGGTACTCGAGGCCCTGCAGGAGCTGCAGCACGTAGTTCACCACGTCATCCTCCGAGTAGCGAAACCTGGGGGCAAGTGGCATCAGCACGCGGCCCTGTGCTGGCCACCTCTCCTGGTAGCCCCACAGCTGCTCATACCTGTCCACGATGCTGTAGAGGATCTCCTTGCCGGCGCAGTTCTCGCAGATGAGCACCAGGTAGCGGGGGGTGATGTACGCCTCGTGCAGGGCCATGATGCGCTCGTGGTGCAGCGCCTTGAGGATCTCGTACTCCTGCAGCACGCTCTGCTTCCGCTCCGCCTCATAGGGCACGATCTTGGCCATGAAGTGCTTCCCTGTGGCGTTCTCCTTGCACAGCCGGATCACCCCAAAACGGCCCCTGCGGCACAGGGCGGTGTTCAGCATCCCAGGCTGGGGTGCCGGGCTGGGGGGCACCCCCAGCAGAGCATCCTGTCCCACCACTACTCACCTCGCCTTCTCGTCCAGGAAGGTGTACGGCTTTTGGGGGACGCCCTGCCGCAGAGCTGTGCTGTCTTTCACTGCCGGCGTCCCGCTCTCAGCTGGGGGCTCCTTGGAAGACGTGCTGGTGGGGGGGGGCTCCTGTGCAGGGAGCGATGTGGGAGGTATGGAGACAAAGGAGGTGACCATGTAGGGGGGCATCTTCCGTGCGGGTGCTGCATTGGGGGTGGGAGACACCGTGGGGGCTGAGCTGGGAATGGTTGGAACTGGAGCAGCGGGAGATGACTTGGAAGGAGATTGAGCCTGGGGTGGGGTGGATGTGTCCGTGGGGGGCAGGGAGGAGCCCTCGGTGGGGGTGTCTGTGTGGGGCGAGGCAGCAGTCCGAGGAGGGCTGAATGTCAGCTCGGGGGGCACACAGACGGGGATGTTGGGCGGGGGATGCGGGGCTGG